GGTAGATGTAGAGTTATGTAGGGTTAGAGGGTATGTGTGTGTTGGTCAGGTGTGTGTTGTGGTTCTGAGTGGATCATCATCTTCTCAGCGCATCATTAGATGTTTATTGCAGATGAATGAGATTCGTCCGTTGTGTTTTGACGGCCTGAACTTTAAATCCCTGCGAGCAGCAACAGCCACTAGAAAGACTCTCCAGCTCCATCCTCATCCAGCGACACACACACACACACACACACACACACTGCATGTACATGTGTCTGCATATAAATGTATAGACACTCTGATTTCACACACATCAGCCATAAAAGCACACACACACACACCGTTAGCTTGAATTGCTTCTCTCTGGCACAAATTACCCTCATACACACTCCCATCAGGCTGCACAAATGTCCCCATAAAGCCAACACACAAATTGAGCATGAATTGCTGCACACACACAAAAATAAACATATTCACATATGAATCTTTCCCACAAATTATCCTCACAATCGCACACACACATCACAGCGAGTCGCACTCAGTATCCAGACAATCATATAGAGGCACTCAGCGCCGCTCACATGTAATTGCATACAAACTATATGGAGATGAGGCTTCAATTGAACCAATGAAGGCAGAGTGAGTGTGTACAAACACCGACACACACACCAACACACACTCGACCGCCTGCTTTCTCCTCATTCAGTAACAATCTGAATAAAGTGTTGTCGCGTCGAGTCGCGTTCTCCGTCCGATCTACTTAGCGGCGTCGACGGAAGGATCTGGAAAGGTCATCCAATCTGTGGAAGGCAGAGCGGCTCAATCAGAGAGCTAATAAACAAACCGGCAGCAACAATCAGCGGCGTGTTCAGGTGTTCGTGTGCTGCTGCTGCTCACAAATCAAACTAACTGAAGCTCTCAGAGAAAAAACCTCACTTTGTCTGAACGTCGCTGCGCTTTCCTTCATTACGTCTCTCGGCTGTTTGCTGCTGCTCCGTCGGTTCGTTGTTCATTAGCCGCTTTCTGTGTTTCTTCACTGAGTTTATAACTGAGCACAGAAGTACAGTGAATGTACTCATTAAGAGGTGAAAAAGTTACTCGAGAAAAGTAAATAAAGGCACATTTATGAAGAAAAGGATCCTTTTAAAGCAACATGAGGAACTTTGAGGAACTTTTGTGTGATCTTTTAGTGGTTCTGGGCCTTTGAGTATGTTCAAGCACAAGATCCGACCCAGTAGAACCTCCTCCAGGGACGTTTCCAAAGTAGAACAAAGTTCCTCCTCCAACCTCTTTTCTTCTGAGTGACCATGAAACCTGGTGTGCAGGTCTGGATGCTGGTTGGATAAACAAGCACCATGTGATTGTCCAGCAGCTTCTTCTTCTCTCTAACATCAACAACATAAAGTTCTCCAGATATTCTATTTCAGTTCTGTTTCCTACTTAGAACAGAAATTACTTCCAGTAACTGTTTGTTCTGGTCTCTGTGAGTTAAAGTTGAAGCTGAAAGCGCTGAGTACGAGGATTTGCTCCACCTCACATCCTGCAGCAGAAAACAACCAACACATGCTGAAGCAGTGATAACACATCTCCTGAAATACACAAGAAATGAAGGGAAATGGATTTTGTGTTTGCAAAGACCAGAACTTTGTGAATTTTTTTCAATACCGTACGAAATATGACCATGTTGTAATTGTAGAGTGGAAACCGAAGGAAAGGATAAGAAGACGACAGAGAACGTCCTCCGAAGTCCATGTGTGAAGCCTTTAACGAACATTTACAGTTTCTCTTTGATGTTGTTCCGCCAAAAATCTACATTGGGATCTATTTCGACTCCGTGTTCGGGGTGGTCCTTGAGATTTCCACTTCAAGAAAAGATTACTTTTCTGACAAACATTCTGAACGGGACAACTGGCAATGTGCTGCTGCTGTGTGTCTCCTAGCTCATTATTTGTTGATACTTGTTTTGGACATGAGTGAGTTCCATCCTCATCTCTCATCCAGCTCATTGTGTAGCGCAGAATGGTCTGACTGCTCCTCACTAAGAAATAAACATGTTGGTGATGTTTGTTCTGCTGAAGTTGCTGCATCACCACATCTGACACCAGGAACTGAACCAGAATCAGATGGTTGTCATTATTGTGTGTGTGTGTGTGTGTGTGTATGTGTGTTTTTTCAGTTTTTTCAATCCCATCGTTAACGCCGCTAATAGACACACAAATCAATAAGAATCTGCCTCATTTGATGAATATGTAGACATGCCCCGACACACAACACGTTTGTAGCTCTGACTCTGTGTGTGTGTGTGTGTGTGTGTGCGTTGCCTTCGATGTGCTGAATCAAGTCATTTTAGGGCTTTTTGTTTACATGTCAGAGCCAATTTATCCAGAATCCCTGGAAACACTCAATAGCTCATCCCACTGCAGAGTGAGTCTGTGTGTGTTCCTTGTATGTTTTCATGTCATATATATATATAAATATATAATGTATGTGTGTGTGTGTGTGTGTGTGTGTGTGTGTGTGTGTCTCCTGGGGTTTTCCCGGGGCTATAACTGCCAATCAACCAGCATGTTGGACTGAGAGCTGAGCAGCAGCTGAGAAACCTGCAGGATCTGAACTCACCATCTGCTCTTCATTCATTAAAAACAAATATCAGACAATAAATCAATACGTAGATCAATCAGCTCATCGATCATGTCACAGAGCAATGCTGCTGTAGATCCATGAACACCAAGTAAAGTCTCAGATTCAGAACTAGCACAGGCTGAGTTACCGCTGGGCGTCTGGTGTTGACTTGTGATGTCACTTCCTGTAGTCGTTTCCTGTAGTTGCCTCCTGTAGTCACCTACTATAGTGGCCTCCTGTAGTCGCCTCCTGTAGTCACCTTTGGGTGTCGTCTTCTGTAGTCACCTCCTATAGTCGCCTCCTGTAGTCGTTTCCTGTAGTCAGTTCCTGTTGTCGTTTCCTGTTGTCGCCTCTAGGTGTTACCTCCTGTAGTCACCTCTGGGTGTCGCCTCCTGAAGGTGTTTCTTGTGGTCCCTCCTGTGGTCGCCTCCTATAGTTGCCTCCTGTAGTCGCCTCCTATCGTCACCTCTGGGTGTCGCCTCCCGTAGTCCCCTTCCACAGTCGCCTCCCGTACTCCCTTGGCATAGTCGCCTCCCATAGTCCCCTTCCGTAGTCACCTTCCATAGTCGCCTTCCGTAGTCACCTTCCATAGTCGCCTTCCGTAGTCCCCTCCCGTACCCCCTTCCCATAGCTACCTCCTGTAGTGCCCTCCCGTAGCAACCTTCCATAGTCCCCTTCTGTTGTCCCCTCTCATAGTCCCCTCCCATAGTCCCCTCCCGTAGTCACCCCCCATAGTCGCCTCCCGTAGTCCCCTCCCAAAGTCCCTTCTCGGAGTCGCCTCCCAAAGTCCCCTCCCGTAGTCACCTCCCGTAGCCCCCTCTCGTAGTCCCCTTCCTTAGTCGCCTCCCGTAGTCACCCCCCGTAGTCACCTCCCGTAGTCCCCTCCCAAAGTCCCTTCTCGGAGTCGCCTCCCAAAGTCCCCTCTCGTAGCCCCCTCCCATAGCCCCCTCTTGTAGTCCCCTTCCTTAGTCACCTCCCGTAGTCACCCCCCCGTAGTCACCTCCCGTAGTCCCCTCCCATAGCCCCCTCCCGTAGTCCCCTCTCGTAGTTGCCTCCTGTAGTCCCCTTCCTTAGTCGCCTCCCACAGTCGCCTCCTTGTCTTTAATGTGCCACCAACGTCTTACTGCAAGACGTCCTGTGAGCAGCTCGTAAGCTGTGTTGCCTGAAGCTGAGCTCCCATAATGCACTGCCTGTCCTGCAGCCATTTGACCGTCACACACTTTGGTTCAACCCGGAGTGAGCTCCTGCTTGATCCCATTCATTGTTTCCAGAGGATAAGGCAGGAGTTTAATGTCTATAAATAAGTGACTGACATCATTGTTTTTTTTTTTTTTTTTTTTTTAATTTAAATTGCTATTTACACATAAACTTGGGGAACATCTTTAATTATGATAATTTTGTGGAGGTTTAAATTGCTGTGGTCACTGAATCTTTGTCTGTTTAACTAAACTTTTATTTTTTATCAGTTATGATTTATTTCATTGTA